AGGCTGGAGTGCAGTGGTGCAATCTCGGCTCATTGCAACATCCGCCTCCCAGGTTCAAGCAGTTCTCCTGCCTTAGCCTCCAAAGTAGCTGGGATTACAGGCATATGCCAACACGCCTGGCTTAATTTTTGTATTTTTAGTTAGAGACAGGGTTTTGCCATTTTGGCCAGGCTGGTCTCGTACTCCTGACCTCAAGTGATTCGCCTGCCTCAGCCTTCCAAAGTGCTGGGATTACAGGCGTGAGCCACTGAGCCTGGTCTCTATAATTGTTTTTATAATTATAATGCCTTGACACAACTGTAAGTTGACTTCAAGACATTCCACTTCTTCCAATCCTGGTTCCTTCTTTAATGTGGATAAGACTCAGACTCTCAGAGGAGGTAGGTTTTGAGCCTGCTATCTGTTCCTAATAAGAGAGAGTAAAAGTTTCTCTTTCCATTCCTTTACATTCTAACTAGGCAACCAGAGCATATACTTTTACATTTCACACATCTGCCCAAATTTATTCTAATTCTTGCCTCTGGAGCTGGTTATAGTTCTGGAGTTGTTCATAATCACAGATGGTAGTAGAAATAACAGGAGTCTCTTACCTCAGCTGAGTAGACTCCTAATAGGCCTGGTATAAAACATTTTGCTCAGCAAAACTTCGTAATAGTGCTACATACAGAAAGCTGCTGTTCGAGGGAGAGGTCATAGTCCTTACTCTGGCCATAGTGCCACTTTGTTCCCACCCACCAGTCTCCTATAACAAAGATGTCTTAAGGAAAGGATCCAAATTCAAAGAAGCTCTCTTGAACAAACAGGATAACTTGAACAACTAGATAACCTCTGAACTTCATTGTACCTGCCTACTTTTACTGTCACCCAAATGTATTCTCCCTCACCATGTACATATGGCCCATGACAAGGTACAGGGGTTCAAAGGTCGATGATAAGAACAGCTAGGAAAAATTGGTACACCCAAAATTGTTGTGAATGAGGTCTAGCAATACGTTTCACTTGCTCTGTTTGTTAAGTCACAGCATGAGCAAATCTATCCAGAAAAAGAACACCAAGCTACTCTCAACTATTAGGGCCATTTGTAAATATTCCGATTTTATCCAGATGAAGAAATGTTCTACATGTCAGTATTTTTATGTGTTTTTAGGAGGAGTAGAAGCATCTTTCAGCTTTTAACTACATCAGTTAAAAGATCCTTAGATTTATCCCTAGAGACTCCTCGATTTAGGTTATCTCTAGATTTAGTATATCCTTGCTGAAAAAAGAAGCCATGCTTTACAGGTCACATTTAAAGGAACTGTGTTAACGCTTATGCATTCTAACTATGCTATCATTGTCGACGTCACTCAGAATCAGCCGCAACACTGGCACATCAAAATGAAATACTGCAAAATAAAGAGGCCCATGACCCTCATGAGTATGAGAAATACAGCTAATTAAGAAGAAATTAAAAGAATAATATAGCTAATTAAGAAAAAAAAAAAAAAGAAAAACTACACCTATTCCACAGAGCAGCCAAGGTGAGCTTGAAAAACCAGAAATCAGATAATGTGGTTTCCGATCATATTTAGAATAAATTTCAAATTTACAAAGCCTCACATCAGACCTACTTGCTTCTCTGACCCCATTGCGTAGCACCCTTTCCTTCTTTTCTACTCATTAGGTTATAATGCCATAAAACAGCACACACTTAGGAAGGCACGTTTTAGATGAGCCAAAAAGCAAGTCTGTGGCACAGTATGACTAAACTAACCCACTTAATACTATCGGGGAAGAATTAGTAGATACCTTTAAAGACAGCTTGCCTCACACACAAATGCCTAACTATGTCATTCACAAATATTAACAAATATCCATTACAGAAAAAGCCAAGTATGTATCAGTGGGTTCTTTAACCTGTGGCCACGTGGGTCTGAAATAAATATTATACTATAGCTCAGCACCGGCACTATTTTACATATGTAATAATAACCGTCACACTGGAACCTCTTCTGAAATTATAAATGCATGTGTCCACTTTAATATGCAGTGCCTGTGAGGTTTATTCCAGAAAACCTCAAACTTACTTGGAAGTCTCTTACATTATTCACAATGGTAACTTAGCTACATGATTTCAGAAAGCAAATACTAAAAGTAAGTGTACCACATGTAAGGTAACTGCCATTTACACTATCCCTTTCTGGGAAATTCTCAAAGCACATCCCTTTCTGAAAGGTTACTTTCATAGGGTCATGAAGAATCTTCAAGCTTGTTTACACAAACCCCCTCCTTTCCTTCCCTCCCCTCCTCATGCTTGCCATAGCGAATTAAACTGCTGATGAATGCCTGACTAAGAGGCAGCAAAAATAGAGCTGCTGATGTCCCATGAAGTGGCCTGGTATAAACAGTATGTCCCCCTCCCCAAATATCCTATATTAGGATATTAGGTTGTAATCAACAGACTCAGTAAAATCTTCATATGAGCTCTGAATGTGAAACAAAGAAGGAGAAATAATCTAAGACAACCACAAGCAAGAGACATAGCAAAAGGCATGCAACAGTTTATATCCTGAGTAAGCAGAAACCAGTCAGCCTTAGGAAAAGCAGAGTAGCTGAGGCTCCATTTTGACATAGTATTAGAAGAGGAGCAGGTGTTGTTCATGGAGGTGCTGTGGTAACCAACTTCCCTGAGCTGCATTTTATCCTATTCAACACATCCTAATTCTCCTAGAGGTCTTCTGAAATGGTTTCCTGTTCTTAATCTCCTCATGGGGTTTTTCCATAAATCTCTATTACATGAGCATATCTCTACTTCTTAGCACATGATGCTCTCTGATTTCTCTGCTAAAGCTCTTCTTTTCCTCATCTTCCCCAACTCAGTATGACACAACATCCCTCCAGTTATGCAAGCCAAATATCTGGCAGGGTTTTTAAAAAACTTCTTATTATGGATATTTTCAAATATTAACAAAAGTAAAGAGAATGGCATCTATTACTCACCTTTTGAGAATGTCAACCTTTCAACAATCATGTTTTATCTATTTCATACCCCACCCCAGATCAAATAAGTTATTATTGGTTTTTCACTTTCCTCTCATCCTTCATAACCAGCTCACTGGAAAGTCTTATCATTACCTCTGAAAATTATCCAGAATCCATCCATTTCTGATTTTCACTAATACCGCCTTAATCAAAGTCACAATCATCTCTCAACTAAGCTACTGCAACAGCCTTGAAATTGGTCGCCCTGCTTCTACTTTTGCTCACTACTTCAACCTATTCCAAAGAGCAGCCAAGGTGAGCTGTCAAAGCCAGAAATCAGGTAAGTGTGGTTTTCCATTGCATTTAGAATAAACACCAAATTCACAAAGTTTGACATCTGGCCTGCTTTCTTCTCTGCCCCATCTTGTAACAGTCTCAGTCCTGCTACATCACACTGGCCTTTATGTTCCTTCAAACTCTCAAGTCCATTCCTGCCTTGAGATTTTGCATGAGCTGTTGCCCTGGCCTAGGATCCTCTCTGTCAGATTTTCACGTTGTTGACTCCATGTTGCCTTTTAGATCTCAGCTGAACTGTCACATCCTCTGAAAAGACTTCCTTAACCACCCAATCTACAGCAGTCACTTGATAATTTGCTATCACATTACCATTTGAATTCTTTTTCATCCATCTTTCTTTTTTATATCTCCCTTTCATAGAGTGTAAGCTCCTAGAAATAGGACTGTAAGAAGACCTATCTAATATTCATTCTTCTTTCTTAAAACAAAGTCCTGATTTTGTTCAGGTATCAACTTCCATGTTGCCATGGGCCTCAGGAGAAGCTGACCCTCTTATCCTCTAACTCCAAGGAATAATATGATTCAACAATGAATATCTCGTATCCCTTGCCAGTGATTAGTTCAGAAATGAGCATGTGGCCCAATCCTGGCCAAGAAGATATAAGGAAAAGTTTGCTACAGACATCTAAGAAAGTAGTTCCCTAATTCCTGAAAGAGTCATGAAAAGCCTGAGTCTTTTTCTCCCTCTAACCATTAATGAAGAAACATGTCCACACTACATCTGTGAGTGAAACAGGCATTAGGATGAAGCTAACACTGCATATACAAAGTAGACAGAAGGAAAGAACTTGACATATTTGAATTGCCTGATCAGCCAACCCAGGAGTCCATTCTATCTTTGGACTTCCTTCTATGTAAGCAAATAAATTTTCTTCGTATTTAAGCCAATTAAAGTTAGATTTTTTTTTAATTACTCATATGTGAAAATATACTAACATATATAGGAACTTTGTCTACTTTGTTCCTTGCTATACTCCTGGCACCTACAAAAATGCCTAGAATATGGTAGGTACAGCAAATATTTGAGTGAATAGTAAAAGAATGTAAAAGAATAATTTATGAAAGATAAAGAATCCTAAAACAAATATTCTCTATTTAGCCCACTGCTATGGTTTGAATGTGCCCCCAAAAAGCATGTGTTGAAAGTTTAATCCCCAATGCAACAGTATTGGGAAGTGGGGCCTAATGAGAGGTAATTAGGTCATGAGAGCAGAGTGAATAGATTAAGGCCATTAATAAGGGAGCAGGTTCATTATTCTGGGAGCGAACTGGTTATAAAAAGAGGAGTTTGGCCCATGTTTTCTTCCCTCCCACCCTCCCCACCACCCTCTGGTCCTATCACCTTCACCGTATTATGATGCAGCAAGAGGGCTCTTGCCAGATACTGGCTGCTGATCCTGGACTTCCCAACGTCCAGAACTGTGAGCCAATTTCTGTTCATTATGAACTACCCAGTCTCAGGTATTTTGTTATAGCAGCACAAAATGAATGAAGACACCCGCTTTAGCTACAGTGTCATTAAGTTCCTTAAGAAGAAGTATCTAGTTAAGTACTATTAGGTAAGCATAAAAATGTTCTTGACATAGATTTTAAAATGTCAACCTGACACTGAAATATGTCACCATCATTACAAAAGGAAAATGCCACTATCAAAAAACATGCATACATTTATAAAGACTTACAGGTTCTTGGGGTTCGGTTTCTTCCCATGCTCCCCAACCATCATCTTCCCAGTCTGTAGATTTACCTGTTTTTAAAAAAGATGAACAATGCCTGCATGAAATATAGGGCTTTAAGTATCTTTAAAGCATTTTTTCTAAACATCATAGAACCAACCTCTGTATAATGCTGATGTTCAGAAAGAAAATAATGGTAAACTGTGTTATACCAGGATTTTGCTATATGTAATAATAACAATCAGAAAATATTTGACCTACTGAATTTCTAAATTTATATATTAGTAAAATTGTGTGCAAGTTATTATTAAAATTGTGTGTGAGTTATCTGGATCTTAAGATATTGGACATCAAGTTAATCCACATTCAAATCAAACTGCAAAGATGACTTTTTAAAAATCTAAAAATGACAAATGTTTATTACTCAAGATATTAGACAAATATACACAGTGATGAAAAAAAACCACACCTAAAATTTCACACAGATGCCTTAAAAAAGTAACTTATTTTTTGATAAGACAAATATTTAGTGAAAAAGAAAACTGAATTTTGAAACAAGACAAACCTATTATTCTGCACCCTTTTCTGATATTCTTGATTTCTTTTTTTATTATTAAAATTTTATAAGCACTTGAATAATTTGACTTCTCAGATTTTTTAAGTAACTAAAAAATATTATGACTTTATATCTTAAATTATTTAGTACCAACAAAAGCGAAATCAGGATGTTAAGCCAGTTGAACACAAACCATCACAAAGTTACCTACATGTTACAAATAAATCTGATATTGCACCATCACAGCAACAAGGTAAGACTTGTTTTTATGTAGTAATATAATAGTTTGACACTTGTCTGGATATTGAACAAATATGAGAATTCTTTACTTTTGTATACATCCCACTGCTCTCTAGGTTTTTGTTTTCTTTAGTTTTCTCTCATTTAGTCCATTTAGATGAAGAATCGGTATTGTATTTGACTGTAAATTAGTTTGTTCTTTTTACCAGTAAACACTATTTCTAGTGGATTTTTAATTTATTTATTATTATTATTATACTTTAAGTTCTAGGGTACATGTGCATAATGTGCAGATTTGTTACATATGTATACTTGTGCCATGTTGGTGTGTATTCTTGATTTCTTATATGTTGGAACATCCTCTCAGAGGAAAATAAGATGGTCAACAATGCAACAAGGAACGTAAAAGCCCAGATAGGTTTGGACAGTTATGTTTCCTTACAAGGCCCAGGTGACTGGTTTTTACATAATCATCTTTTAATTTATCAGAAGAGAAAAAACTATCATTTTTGAACAACTACTCTGAGACAAGCATGAGATACTTTATATGCATTAATAAAGTACAAATAAAACTTTAGGCCCCAGAATCACACTGCCTAAGTTTTATTTGAACTTTATCATCTTTAAAAATTTAATTTGAGGCAATAAATATAAAGTTTGTTTTTTTTGTGGTTTTTTTTGAGATGGAGTCTCACTCTGTTGCCCAAGCTGGAGTGCAGTGGCATGATCTTGGCTCACTGTAACCTCCACCTCCTGCGTTCAAGCCATTCTCCTGCCTCAGCCTCTGGAGTAGCTGGGACTATAGGTGCATGCCACCACACTATAGCTGGGGCTATAGGTGCATGCCACCACACTCGGCTAATTTTTGTATTTTTTGTAGAGACAGGGTTTCACCATGTTGGCCAGGCTGGTCTCGAACTCCTGACCTGAAGTGATCTGCCCACCTTGGTCTCCCAAAGTGCTAGGACTACAGGCGTGGACCACCATGCTTGGCCTTGAGGTAATACATATAAAGTATTGAACGCTTGTTCAAATCCTGGATCTAGCACTTACTATCTCTGTGACATAGTGCAAATTACCCATCTAAACTTTAGTTTCTAATCATAAAGGCATGGAAGACAAGAGTACCTATATCTAGTAGGGTTGTTGTAAGGACTTATACCAGATAGCATACTAAAGTCCTCAGTACCTGACACATACCACGTTCTCAATGCTGGTCAAGGTTTAGCTAAATCAAATATTATATTTAAGTAATCAGCTTTAAAATTCTGGGAGGAAAGCAATTTAAAAGATGGGACTGATTCTGATGGCTTACAGTAGGAAGGAAGCAAATAGATTCAGTTATATACAAGGTTTTAAAGGTTGCTGGAATCAATTACATACAGATGATTAAAGAATTTGTTATAGTCTACTACTTAGAGTCATCGTTCAATTAGCTTTGTAGTAACAGTCTAATCTTCTGTACTTAAATGCCAAATAATTACTTCCTAATAGGCATATATTAAGTCCTAAAATAGCATTATCATTTGATTAACATTGCACAATTTATAGAAGAGTTCCGTATACAAGTCAATTAGCAATTTAACAAATACTCTCTTAAACACCATGTGGCAAATCCTGTAGTAGGACCTGAGAAAAATACAAGCATACTCCTTGCCCTTGAAGAATTCATGATCTATTGCAGAAGGCAGACAAACATGGAATCATAATATATGGTGACTACAGTAATGGACCACTATGGGAACTTGGATGAGAGAGCAAGTCCTTAAAAAGTAGCTAGAAAGGCTGGGGGGAAAAGTCAGCATGAATGAAAGAGGCAGAAAGATGCAATGTATATGACAACTAACATGTATTAAACATTTCTGTATATCTAAATGCTTTATAGACATTATTAGTTCACTTAAACTTCACAGGATCCTTTATTGTCCCCATTTTACAAGGGGAAAACAGATCTTTTGGAGAGTTTAAGTAGTTTGACCAAAATCACACAGGAGTAAGTGGCAGAGTAAAGCTTGAGTTCAGGTCTATCTGAGTTCTAAAACCCATGCTTGTAAGTATTAGACTATATGTACTCCTACCATGGCTCATGAAGGGTAAGATTAGGGAAAAGTGGTGTTTATAGTTAAGGCCAAAAGTAAGAAGGTTCTTATTTTAAAATAGACACATTCCCTTGATATTGCGATTTAGAGATTTTTTTTAAACTTGGAAAATTACAGTTTGTCTTTTGGCAATTAAATTCAATTAAGCCAAATCCTTATTTTGCTAATTTTTCCACTGTACCAAAAACAATTGTCTTCTTGTGGGTTTAAGGCAGCCAACAAGGCTATCCCATTTAAAGTTTCAGAATATGTATTGTCTCATATGAGAAAGCAAAGTATCTAAAAGAGCTTATTACTATAAAGTTCATGATTCAATTTTTAAATTGCTATAAAAATAATGTATATATCAAATTACCACAATCTTGAAAAGACCACACAGAATTTAGACTCTTCAGGAAGGCTGCAATCACTCATGCATTCAACAAACCCAACATCTTTTATGTTTTGGGCACCGTGCTAAATGCTGGAAATATAAAAGCAAACAAACCTTCAAAGAGCTTAGTTTGTGCACATAACCTCTGCTGAGTGTGTATAAAATAAAACTATAAAAAGTGTGTTATTTCTCCTCCATATTGGTATAAAAAGCACCTGACTCAATTCACAAATGACTCATATAAGCAAATAGAAGACAGCAGTAATTTGGATTTCCTACTCCTGCAGAGATCCAATATCTCCCTATGCCACAATTCAGAACCTCCAAGAAAAGAAAGACTTTGAGAAATACTTTATACAAGATATTTAGGTTTATGAAGGTTTACCCATTCTCAGTGCCCCTGACTGGAAAGCTTCTTTCAACAAAAAGGAAGGAGAATTTAATTGGGCATCTTCTATTATCATAGGAATGCATTTTTCCCAACCAAGTCAAGGTAAAGGAAGGTGAAACAGCACTATTATTCAGGTAAGTTAAAAGATATTTTTTGTAGGTTGCTCTAGAAGACTAAGTCTATTTATAATACTATGAGAGAATGCATTCCAAATTATAGTAAACTTAAAAAATGGGAAACGTTTTGTCAGTGAGGCAATACCCTTGTGGCTATTTCTTTTTATTTTTTATTTATTTATTTATCTATTTTGAGGCGGAGTCTCACTATATCACCAGGCTGGAGTGCAGTGATGCCATCTCGGTTCACTGCAACCTCCAACTCCCTGGTTCAAGCGATTCTCCTGCCTCAGCCTCCCAAACACCGGGGATTACAGACATGTGCCACCACACCCAGCAATTTTTGTATTTGTGGTAGAGACGGGGGTTTCACCATGTTGGCCAGGATGGTCTCGATCTCCTGACCTTGTAATCCGCCTGCCTTGGCCTCCCAAAGTGCTGGGATTACAGGCGTGAGCCACCGTGCTCGGCCCCTTGTGGCTATTTCTACTCAGTGACAGTGATTTAATCTTTGTAGCCTCCTATGTCCTACTGAAAATCATTTGAGACTGTTTTGCAAGGAGCTAGTTGACAGCTATTTTCAGCTATTAAAAACTGTTATAATCCCAGCACTTTACCAAAGTTATTTCTTATGCCTTCAGGTTATGCAAGCAGGTCAAGCACATTCTTTAGGGAAAAAAAAAAAGGTATATATTGAGAAAATAGCTGATGAATGTCTATTCATGTAAATGTTGCCATTCATGTTGCCATTCATGTAAAAAATTCTGTTCAGGCACAGTACTTCCTTCTGGTAACCTTTCTAAGGAGGATGGTATTCTTTAATCAATATCATTAGTATTCTTTAATTGATCATTGGTCAAGAATGTAGGTAGCCAAAGCAATGGTCAACATAAATTTGAGAACTATGCACTGTTTTAGGTTAATATGGAATATTACTGTAAGGCCTTGAGGTTCATAAACTCTATGTCATCGTGAAGAAATAAGACTGATTTGCCTTATTATCAATTACTTCCAAAAAAGGCTAAAAATGGCTCACCATGATTGTCTCTTAGAAGAATAAATAGATCAATATCTTTTGTAGGACAGAGTAATTTGAAAGCCCTAAGCTCTGGTATAACTTAAAAAGGCAAATCAGTGTAACAAAATGTACCATGGAATTAAGGACACCAGGACAGCCAGCTTCTTTAGGACAGTCTAGAGCCAGTGTAAAGATTCTAAACATTCCACCAATCACCAAATTCCATAGCCAGAGCTATGTGGCCCTCATTTCTGTGAAAGGCTAGACTACAAATTATA